AGGAAGGTTAAATTGATAAGAAAACAAAGAAAGGCAGAGAGCTTTGTAGCTAAAGAGTATATTATATGCATGTGTGGGGAAAGACACAACCAGAATGTTGGATTTTAAGGAAGAGGAAGAGTTCGCCTTTGCAACCAGAATGTGTGGAGGAAGAACTTTCGCCCCCGGGTATTGGCGTGATGATGCTTAGAAGATGTAAAATAAAACAAATACACTTTGACATGTTACTTATGTTACCGTCTTCACAGTTTAAGCACAACTTTTTGATGTTTAAATAATTGAGTTTCATAAGGGCACCTAATTGATACAAACAAAAGGTCCCTAAAAAAATACTATAACATAAAATAGATACAATTTTAATCATTAAACAAAATATAACTTACAAAATCAGACAGCTTGAAATTAGATATGATGGTGAAAAACTCAAACTATCTCAATTGCTTTTTCTCCAACAAGTTCCGACACATCTAACCACTATTGTGACCTAATGGTTAAAGCGAGAGGGGTCCAATTGAGGTGTTTTTAGTTCAAGTTTACAAGCCTAATAGAGGTGGCCACTGAGGATTTATCCGGCGTCAACTCAGGGCTCGAAAGATAAGTTGAGGTATGCGCAGTTGACTCGAACACCTCTGGTCAACAAAAAAAAAACAAAAATCTGACACATACCACCTTTTAATCCAAATTAAAACTTGAGAGTTAATCAGAGATGGCAAACAATCATTTTCATTCTAATATGTATAAAACACAAAAAGAAAAAAAAAAACAAATATGTAATTTTCACTCCAGTATTCTGTTAAACATATTGCCAGACACCACCTCATTATATAGGGAAAATTACTGAGAAAATAAGCAAGAAGATTTTAACGTGTTCAACCTCAAACAATATGTTGACCAAGAATAGCAGAATACATCAGGGAAATTGATGTCTACTACAGCAGCACCTATGGCTTTTAAGGCCCAATTATAAAACAAGAGAGCTGCACAAATGTATCCCCTTGGACACCTTTATCTAACTTAGTAAGCCCACTTCCACTTAAACGAAAAATGTGTTTACTTCAAAGAAAGAAGCAAAGCAGTTTTGAAGGAATTTACCTGCCATGTATGCCGCCCAATTAGTGCAGTGTATCCAAACATCACGAAAATGATATTACAATTAATACAATTTATGTACAAGACAAAAAAAAAAAAAAAAAAAAAAAAAAAAAAACTTTAACAAGTAATTTTAATATATATTATATATTAAAAAATGGGAAGATTAAACAAGAAGACAATTTAGCGATCGAAGAAACTGGCCAATGGAGGGAACATAGAGTTTCCAAGGTGTTATGGGGGAAAAACATTGGGCCAAGCGTTAATTTTTTTATGAGGTCAAAAAAATTGTATAAAGTAGAGGTTAAAATACGGTAAAATGATTTTTATAGAAAAATTTTCAAACAGTGTACCGTTAATAAAATTATCTTGAAAAACCTAAAGGTTAACCAACAGTCAAGGATATTTGTTTCTTCTTGAATTTTTTGGTTCAAACCTTGCGATATATATACAATAAACATTATGACTTATCTGGATTAGTTCTAAAGATTAATTAAAATACGTGCAAACTAAGTAGTGTTTGTATTGCTTTTCCTCCGTAATTTCTTACGCATCACCGAAATGAAACAAAAAACTTTCTTGGTAGAAAAATGTCCCCACATAATTCAACAATTGGGTTTCCCATCTAATTTGGAATGAATGGGCTCTCATTCAACACATATATAAAAATGTATGCACACCGAAATGAAACAAAAACTTCTTGTAGAAAAATGTCCCCCACATAATCCGACAATTGGGTTTCCATTAATTGGAATGAATGGGGCTCTTAGTAACAATCATATATAAAAAGTATGCACCGAAATGAAACAAAAAGCTTTCTTGGTAGAAAAATGTCCCCACATAATTCAACAATTGGGTTCCATCTATTTGGAATGAATGGGGCTCTTAGCCAACAATCATATATAAAATGTATGCACGTAAGGCCCTTGGATTGTAAATTACAAAGAAATTAAATACTAAATACTCTCTTAATTTGAGATTTATTGTGTAATGTTGTTTCTTCTGGATTCGGTCTCTAATATACTGATATTTATATAAGAATAATACCACATATACAAACTAATTATCAAATTCTTATATACTAAGCGACATAACATAACTTTTGACTGAAATATCATTCATTTATTAACATATATATACACTCATCAAACACTTAGAGATCATAGAAATCTTGCAATTTTCTGACAGCTGAAAATAAAATTCAGTTAGATTTAAACCCTCATCCATAATCGAATTTCTTCAACAGCCATGGATGAACTCTACATTCAAATGAACAAACTGCTATATGAAGAAATCAATAATAGACATGTCTGAGCGTAGGCAAGATTTCTTGGATCCTGTTATAGAGGCATCAGTCGCTAGATTAAAAAAGGTGACCTGCCTTCTCTATTGCCTTCAAAGGTTGCATTTGTCCGACTTGTCGATGAATAATTAATTAAAAAAATTATATCGTCATAAATTATTTGGTCGATGTTGATTCTTTTCAGTAGAATAATTGTAGCAAAAAAACACAGGTAAATAAAGAAAAAAATGTACATCAATTAAGATGAAGTATACTCTTTCAAGTTCCAGGCAGTTTCCATATCGAAAAAAAATCATTTTCATTTCACCCCACAAGATATAAACCTTCTGCAAAATAATTAAATTTACATATTACATGAATGTTTATAATTAAACAATAAGAGAACTTTATAATCGATGATAATTAAGGACCTACTAACTAAGACCAATTGTCAATTAGTACTTATGGTTAATGCATACTGAAATAGTGTTACAATCGAACCAAGTCGAAAAACAAGCTGGTATAAAAAGCTAGTGCTAACTCAACATGGAATGGTTGAGTGTGCCCTCGACAAAGTCAAAAACTACACCATTATAACAAACATAATACGTACCTGTCGGTAACGAGGGATAGAAATTGCTCATCACCTATGACCAAGTTCAGTTCCCATCATAGACCCACGGCAGCAGACACTCAATAAGTACTGTTATAATATATTTTTTAAGCAAAAAGCTAAAGAATTTAGGGATTGGCGGTAACCAACGCGTCTACGGTAACCGACGCAGTCTACGGTAACCACGCAGTCATACACACGAAAATTGGAGGACAGGCAATCTAAGAATTATCAAAACTTATCAAAACGATAAGTTGTAAGTTGGTATCCAAAAGATTTTAAAGATAAATAAGTATTTTTTATTATGTTCTGTTAGTGATTTTCTTTGATAATATCTTGAAAGTTTGATATTTTAGATTTTATAAATTTAAAAATTTCTAAAAAACCTTAAGTTTGCTAATTTAAATAAAAATCATATATATAAAAAGTTTATAATGACAAAAATACTCTCACCACCCGCAGTGCCAGATTCCAGACATATCCCGGAATCGGCCTGAAAATTACGTTACGACACAGACATCGGATCTGTGTCATAACGTGTCGATCTGATCGGAAAAGGCCAGATCTCGGTAGATCTGGCTGTCGAGGCCGTAAAACTCCATCTGCGGCGTCGCGGCCAGATCTGGCCTTTTCCGACCAGATCAGTCACAAGATTGGCCGAAAAAGGCAGATCGATGCGTACGATACAGATCCGATGGGTCTGTGTGGCGGAATCTGGCACTGCAGGTAGCGAGGTGTTTTTGTTATTTTACAAAAATTTTATAATTAGGGTATTTAGTTAAATTAGGAAACCTAGGGATTTTTTAGAAATTTTAAATTTATTAAAAACTAAAATATCAAACTTTTAAGAGCATTCTAGGCTTTCACTATTACAAACGAAAATCACTAACAGAACATGATAAAAGGTACTATTATCGGTTTAAAATTTTTAGGGAAAGTCGTTATTTCTATAAAGCCTTGGCTTCTCTTCTATCGAATGAACGGGCCACCGAGTCAATGGACTTTTTGTTAAGGCAACTTCTAGCTCATTTCCGATCGAGTGCATAATATCAGGCGCACCCATTATCGTGAAAAGTAAAGACTCTGCGGAAGTTTTTTCATTGAATCAGAGAACAAATGGAGAAACTTTATCATGTCAAGGCCTTCTTTTCTCCATACGCATCATATATCTCCAGCTGTTACACTCCACAACACCACCACTTCCTACAAATAATAAGGCAGGCATCATGAAGCGACCAGCACCAGACAACCTTCCACCAGTTGCTGATCGAGTAACTTAGACTGGGCGATGATGATGATAGGTTTTGTTGCCATCAGCTGTGAAATATCTCTCCAATAACCGCAGACATCCCAGTTCCCACCCATCTTCCAGCTTTGTCTTGCTCTCGTTTCTCCTTCACTTTTCTCTTCCTTAGAAATTCATCGTTAAGGTTTCCTAAAGCAGCTCAGGTGCTCGAATGGTTTGGTGTATTTTGCAGTGACAGCAATTTATTAGCCATCACAAATCCACTCACTTTGTGGGTCAGATGCTTCACTTGGACTTGTAGCAATTCCTTCATTGCTCCCATGGTTTGTAAATTTGTATAGTGTCTAATAACTTCTGTACGTTTTCGGCATTTGACAAATATGTAATGCGTCCTATACTTATTTTGGGCAATTGGTAATAACATATATATGAGATAATATCCGAAAAGAGAGAGTGAATAATATATAATTACTTAACTTGAAATGGTTTTATCGTTTAGGATTTGGATTAACTTTTTTTAAATATTAATTGTACTTCGATTGCTTTAGCTTCAATTCAGCTTTAATTAATATGATTATTGATATCAGTATAACATGTATTAATTTAAAGTAATAATTTATTATTAGGAGGCAAATAAAAAATTGCCCTAAGAGTTAGGATTGGGCCAGCTCAGCAAAAATCATGGTTCCTTAAATAGTCATTGAGTCTCGTGGAAAAAACAGTAGAAATCACAAGGGAAGTCTTCAAAAAATCTGGTATTGTCTCGACGGAATCGAGGTTGTTGTGAGAGATGGCAGTGGCGGCACTCGGTCAGCTAAGTGGAGGAGCCACCGCCAGCTTGGGGTTCTCGTAGTGTCGACTGCTTCGAGAGATTGGAGCAGATTGGTGAAGGAACTTATGGGGAAGCCAAGCCTTTCACTTTCAAAACCTTTCGTTTTTTGGTACCCTTTGCCTAAATAATTTTTACCACTGTTGTTTTGTGTATTCATATATATAATCTGCGAGTAATCTTGCAAACTGGATCCGTGGGAGGTAAAGTCTTAATTTAATTCTGTGTTGCGTGGGGTTTATGTTTAGGGAATTCTTTTCTGTTGATCGATTGAGATTTATGTTTGTGTCATAAATTATTTTTATTTTTTGAATTTTTTACTTAAAGTTTATGTCTTTTAGGTATTCCTTTATGGAAGTAGAGAAAAATTGACTATGTTTGAGGCAATATCAAAATAAAATTTGTGGGTTTTTTAATCTAAATTTTATCCTTTTGGGTCTTTAGCTTATGAGGAATGAAGAAAAGGATTTGTTAAGCGTGTACTGGAGTATGGAGATGGCAGTGACGGCGCTCGGCCAACTCTTCGTGGAGGAGCCACCGCGGTGTGGGGTTCTTAGGTGTGACTGCTTCGAGAGTTGGAGGATATTGGCAGTTTAAGTTGAGAGAAAATATGATAGTAGTTACAGAAACAGAGTAATGTGTTTATTCTTTAGGAATGGATGAAAAGGAGGAAAGGAGAGGTTAAATTGATAAGAAACAAAGAAGGCAGAGAGCTTTGTAGCTAGAGATATATATGCATGTGTGGGAGAAAGACATAACCAGAATATTGGATTTTAAGGTAGAGGAAGAGCTTCGCCTTGCAACAGAATGTGTGGGGAAGAACTTCGCCCCGGGTATTGGCGGTGATGATGCCTTTAGAAGCTGATAAATAAAAACAAGAATACTGCTACACTTACATTATTCTTTTATACAATTTCTTTACGTCATGATGTGACATATACCACAATCATACAAAATTTTAATTATTTTAAATTTTTAATATTGTAATAGAATTTGTGATTGTGCATATGTACATCATGATGTAATAAAAATATGTAAAAAAATGGTGTAAGTGTAACATTACTCATAAAACAAATACATTTGACATGTTACTTATGTTACCATCTTCATAGCTTAAGTAAGCAAAACTTTTTATATTAAAAAAATGAGTTTCATAAGGCACTTTTTTATATTAAAAATAATGAGTTTCATAAGGGCACCTAATTGATACAAACAAAAGGTCACCTAAAAAATTACTATTAACATTAAACTAGATACAATTTTAATCATTAAACCGAAATACTAACTTACAAAAATAGACAGCTTGAAATTAGATATGATGGTGAAAAACTCAAACTGTCTCAAATCTCAATTGCTTTTTCTCCAACAAGTTCCGACACATCTAATCACCACTATGGCTTATGGTAAAAATGTAAATGGATCTAAGATAACTTATTGAGTTCCAGTCCCTACAGACCCTAATAGGGGTGATTAGTGAGGGGATTTATCCGGTTGTCAATTTCAGAGCTCTAAATGATTAGTTGAGGTGCGTATAAGTTGACTCGGATACTTCCGATCAACAAAAAAAAAAAAAAATTCTGGCACATCAACATCCTTTTAAATCCAAATCAAAACTTGAGAGTTCAAATCAGAGATGGCCAACAATTCATTTTCATTCTAATACGTAATTAATAACACAAAAAAAAAAAAAAAGTAATTTTCACTCCAATATTCTGTTAAACTTAGTGTTATACACCACCTCATTATATAGGGAGAACTTAATGAGGGAATAAGCAAGAAGATTTTAAAGGTGTTCACCTACAACATGTTGTTTGCCCAATGAGTTGCAGTCCATCGAATCACATCAGGGAAATTGATGTCTACTCCAGCAGCACCTATGGCTTTTAAGGCCCAATTATAACCAAAGAGAAGCTGCAGAATGTATCTGCACACCTTTATCTACCTTAGTAAGCCCGCAAATCAGTTTTGAAGGAATTTATCTGCCATTACATGCCGCCCAATTAAGTGCAGTATATCCATAAACATCACGAAAATTGATATTTACAATTAATACAAGCTATGTACAAGAAAAAGAAAAAAACTTAAATTAATTTTAAGATATTATTTTATATGAAAAAAAAAAAAAAAAAAAAAAACATCGAACCAAGAAGACAATTTAGCGATTGAATAAAACTGCGTTAATGGAGGGAACCATGAAGTTTCTAGCGTGTTTATTGGGTTGAAAAACATCAGGCCAAGTGTTAAAAGTTTTATGAGGTCAAAAAATTGTAATAAAGTAAAGTAAAAATACGTTTAAAATGATTTTATGGAAAACTTTACAATATGTATACAGTTTAATAAAATATTTTTGAGAAGTGTATTATCAATCCCAAGGGTTAGTATAAGAAAGTTTGTTCTATCCCTTTGAGTTCGTTCAAACTTTATGAGTCACAGTAAAATAATAGTATGCTGACAAAATATCAAGTGACCACATACTATACTAACAAAATGGTTATCAAATCAGTATTGTATCGTATATCAAAAACCTAATTTTTTGAATTGTGTATACATATATATCGTATCGTATCGTAGGATACGTCTTTTTAAAAAAAATTATAAAATAATAAAAATTTCTAAAAATTAATATATCTCCAAGGTTAATAAAGAATTTTGTGATATTATTGACTTTAAATTATGATTACATAATCAAATTAATCACAAAATTAATAACCTATAATTTTCTCTCAACTATCCTATTATTTAAGATCAATTTAATATATATATCTCCCTTGTATTATTATTATCAGCAAAATGGAAACACATGTTCCTAAAGGTATAACAAATGGGTCGGGTTAGGCAGGGTCAACCCTAACCCAAACCGCATTAAAAGGGTTCAACTCGGGCCACTTATTGGGGGTCGAGTTGAACCCAACCGCCATGCCACCCCTGGGAGCAGGTTACTATTTTGTTTGCAACAGCCAACCCCACGGGTTGGCCGAAAAAGAATTAAAAATAATAAAAAATTAATTATTTTTTTTAAATTTTGCAGGGAACATTGGCCACAGGCCCACAGTAGCAACTTTTGTTTAGTTTCAAGGGCAATTGCAAAGAGAGGTCCAACTGACACATTGTTATTATTATTTTTATGGTATGTAAAATATAAGAAAATTAATATTAAAGTCTTATTCTCAAATTTTCATATCTTGTATAAAATATAATTCATTTTCTGCTAAAGTTTCATCAATGAAAACGTACCAAATACTAATAAACTAGATACCATCACATTTTACAATTAAACTATATAAATTTAAAAAATAAAAAAGATAATCCAAAATATTATTATTATTTATAATAAATTTTTTAATACTTAGCATTAAAATATATTTAATAAAAAATCAAACATTTTTTAAGACTAGTCCTAATACGACATTATAAAACGACTTATTAACAAATTGACCATTGATGACCCAAACCGATAAGAGTAATACTACATATACAAATTCTCAGACAATATTTCTCATATAGCATTATGTGACAAAAGATGATTGAGTGAAAGTTTAATTTAAATTTAAAATCATTCAATTTATTTTGTCATAATAATATTGCATAAAAATATTGTATGTGTAAACTACCCCCAAATTAGTTGTTTTGTAAATTGTAACTTGTAAATTAATTGTCAATTATTGCACGCTTTTTCTTTACCAAGTTTTTGTCCCATTGGGTTTTTCTGGTGAGGTTTTTAACGAGGCAAATAATTGTTGTTAATTTCTTATTTTATTTTTGATAAATGAATAAATCTAATTTTCTTATATTACAATTTTATTGTATAAAATTGAATAATTTGAAATGTTAACAAAAAATAATAATAATAATAATTTAATTTAATTATTAATATTTGAAAAGTTAACTAAAAACAATTACATTTATTCATTTATAAATTGTTAATTATTTATTTGAAAGTTAACTAAACAAAACAAATAAAACAAAAATAAAAAAAGGGGGCTAACCCGGCCCGACCTCAGCCTAATCCGGGGGTTAGGGTTGACGGGCTGGGCTGGGCTAGCAATCCCAAAAAAATGACGAGCCTAACCTGGCCTGTCTTTGTTGGCGGCGGGGTAGGACCGGCCGCCAAAATCAGTAACCCGCGTGGGCCAAGCCGGACGGTTACTTTTTCAACATTGTTCCTCTTCACTTTTTCATGCAAAATAGGTAAATTTGAACAAGTTTTAGTGAATCGAGTGGTGACCCGGTTCCACCTAAATTTTTTTGGGCTTTTGACCTAAATTAATAAAGTCGTATCTATATTTTTAAAAATATGAATGAATACATATTGTATCATAAGATACATATTAATATCAAAAGGTTTAGTACACTCTCTATATGTATCGTGAATAAATTGTATTAACTATTATATAAACATATTAGATATCATAGGATACTATGCTGACAGATATATCAAGTGATCACAATCCTACATTGACAAATATGTAGACTCTTGATGGGTCCCTTCGTCTATAAACTGGTCCTTGGACAACGACGCCATTCGCAAAGAAACAAAACTAAGATCACGACGTCATTCGCAAAGAAACAAAAAACTTACGGAGAGAGATCCTATCATCATTGGCGAGTAAGTTTTACATTCGCGCGTAGTTTTCATATAAAAATAATTGAAACATTGTTGAAACCAATATTATTTGATTTGAAACAGAGCACAAAGGAGAAACTTTATCATTTCAAGGCCTTCGTTCTCTCCATACCCACATATATCTCCAGCAGTTACACTCCACAACACCACCACTTCCTACAAATAAAATGCAGGCGATCATGAACCAATGGCGAATCACATGCACCAGCGCCAGCACCACCTTCCACCAGTTGCTGATCGACGTAACTTAGACTGGGCGATGATGATGATAGGTTTTGCTTGCCATCAGCTGTTGAAATATCTCTCCAATCATTGCAGACATACTCCACCCATCTCCAGTTTATTTGTCTTGCTCTCGTTTTCTCTTCACTTTTCTCTTCTAGCAAATTCATCAGTTCAAGGTTCCTAAAATAGTCAGGTGCTCGAATGTTTTGGTGTATTTTTGCGGTGACGGCAATTATTTAGCCATCACAATTCCACTCCCTCTGTGGCTCAATGCTTCACTTGGACTTTGTATGCAATCTCCTTCATTGCCCTCATGGTTGTATAATTGTACTCGTGTCTAAAGTCAAAGAGGTTTCCAATAATTAATAACCACACCCAATCAAAGTAACAAAAAAATAAAAATAATTAATATAAACTCAATAAAACAAAAAAACAATCAATAAATGCATGACACAATAAGATTGATTATTCACTTGTTTTAAAATAATAGAATTTAAACCTGGCCAGAAAAAAACTCTTTTTTTCTTATATTTATAAAGTTGAAATCTAAATTTTCAATTTAATTAATATGATTATGATATATTAACATGTATATTTAAAGTAATAATTTATTATTGAGGAGGCAAATAAAAAAAATTGTCCTAAGAGTTAGGATTGGGCCAGCTCAGCCCAATCATCACGTCCTTTAAATAGTCACGTGAGTCTCACGTGGAAACAACAGTAGAAATACAAGGGAAGTCTTCAAAAAATCCTGGTAGCGTCTCGACGGAAACGAGGTTGTTGTGAGGATGGCAGTGGCGGCACCGGCCAGCTAAACGTGGAGGAGCCACCGCAGCTTGGGGTTCTCGTAGTGTCGACTGCTTCGAGAGATTGGAGCGATTGGTGAAGGAACTTATGGGTAAGTCAAGCCTTCACTTTAATCAAAACCTTTGTTGTTTTAGGTACCCTTTTGCCTAAATAATTCTTACCCATGGTGTTTTGTGTATCATATATATAATCTGCGAGGAATCTTGCAAATTGGATCCGTGGGAGGATAAAGTCTTAATTTTAATTCTGTGTTGCGTGGGGTTTATGTTTAGGGGATTTCCCTTTTTTGTGATCGATTGAGATTTATGTTTGTGTCATAAATTTATTTTTATTTTTTGAATTTTTTACTTAAAGTTTATGTCTTTTAGGTATCCTTTTATGGAAGTAAGGAAAATTGACTCTTTAGATGTTTGAGGCAATACAAAATAAATTTATGTCTCGTTTTGCAGACAAGTGTTCATGGCTAGAGAAATCAGACTGGGGAGATTGTTGCTTTGAAAAAGATACGAATGGATAATGAGAAAGAAGGGGTATGTTTCTTTTAGGTTAATATGTGCTTTTATTTTCAGGCAGATGGTAGTTAGTTAAAATTTGTTTTGGTTTATCACACGTCCAAGATTTCAAAAAGTAGCTGTTTCGCCATGCACACAAAGCATTTGATTCTATAATTTTTTGACACTTATTTTGTTAATTTTGTAGTTCCCTATCACCGCCATTCGTGAAATTAAAATTTTGAAGAAGCTTCATCATGAAAATGTATTAAGCTGAAAGAGATTGTCAATTCTCCGGGTAAGTTTGTTTTAGCTGTTTAGCACATTTGCTACTTTCTTTGAAGTTCTACCAACAATATTGGATCTATATTGTTCATACCTCTAACATTATCCTTTCGCTTAAAGGTCCTGAGAGGGATGAGCAAGGGAGGCCAGGTGAGTAAGCTGTTGCACAGACTGTAGTTAAGTTGGTTTTAGTATCTTGAAAGTTCATTTGAGTTGTGTCTTTGTCGAGACTACAGATGGTAACAAGTACAAAGGAAGTACCTATATGGTTTTTGAGTACATGGACCATGACTTGACGGGCCTTGCTGATCGTCCTGGACTCAGATTTACAATTCCCCAGATAAAGGTATTATATTACTGATACTTAAGAAGACGGTTATTTCTTTTGCATCAAACGTCTAGTGATTGATAATATGTGAATTCTTTGTTTGTTTTGGAAGTGTTATATGAGGCAGCTGCTCACTGGGCTCCACTACTGTCATGTTAATCAAGTACTTCACAGGGATATTAAAGGTTATTATCATTTTGCATTTTGGACCTTTTTGTTAATTTAACTTGGTTATGACTGAACAAAACTTCTTCCTGCAGGTTCAAATCTTTTGATAGATAATGAAGGAAATTTGAAGCTAGCGGATTTTGGTCTTGCGAGGTCATTTTCTTATGACCACAATAACACTCTTACAAATCGTGTTATTACTTTGTGGTATCGGTAAGTCTCAACTTTACAAACAGCATGATAAATTGCATATGTATTGCCAAGCATGATCTCCGTATACAACATTATTATTTTTTTTTTTAAGAATTTGCTTGAGTTTATATATTTAATTGGTTCTGAAACATGTGAATTGGCCAGACCTCCGGAGTTGCTACTTGGAGCCACAAGGTATGGACCAGCTGTTGACATGTGGTCTGTTGGGTGCATCTTTGCAGAGCTATTGAATGGAAAGCCTATCTTGCCAGGAAAAAATGAGGTTAGGTGTATGTCCTGGATTTGTTTTTGTCTGCTGTGATTATTGCTCGGGAATTTGTGTGATTGTGCTTGTAAAGTGATTTGATTGTATTAAATTCCTGACTTGCTTGGCCTTCCTCTTCAAGATTGTGTTTTTTCACATAAATTTCACCTTTTGAAAATGATGAACTTAGATTTGAATGTAATGCAAGTGAGATATGGCTTCTGGTGGTAAATTAAGGTTGGTTTTATATTTTTCCCTTGATGGAGGAATCTGTTTCTTAATGATAATGTAGTGAGGCAGAATGATTTCTGCAGAGCTCAACTGGAATGTACTGTAGACTTGGAGAGAGAAATGTGTTTATGTCTTTATGACAACAATAGAATAGTAACTTAAGGTGAAGGTTTGCAACCTTGTGAGCATAGGGGAATTTGAGATGAAAGCTGAAATGGTTCTAGCTTTTAGGACAAAGACTTCGTGCAGTATTTTCTTGTTGTTGATAGGAAGGGTGACTACCTATTGAACCTTTAATATAGACTGTCAATCTGTTTTATATTGTAGGTTCAAGCAAGATTATTCTTAACCCAATTTGTGCTCCTTTCTTGTTAGGGCTGTGCCATAATTTGTCAATATACTACTTTTAAGTGCATTGATTCTCATTCTATATGCAACTAATCAGCCACTACTTTCAGTTTATAATTGCTTCTGATGTTAGACGTTCAGTTGTTTTCATTTCGCTATCCTAAGGCATTGGAACCGTTGGGAAATTTCTGTGAGGGATCAAATGACATTGATTACAGTTTTATCACTTCTTCTTCACTTATGATATAAAATTGATTGATATTTCTGGTAGCTACATCTTATGTATAAATTTTTAACTTTAATTGCAGCCTGAGCAATTGAATAAGATATTTGAGCTTTGTGGTTCTCCTGATGAAGTCATCTGGCCTGGTGTCTCCAAGATGCCTGGGTATAACAATTTGAAGCCCTCAAGGCCCATGAAGAGGCGTGTCAGGGAGGTTTTCAGACAGTGCGTAAAGAAATATTTGCCTTTCAAATCTAGTGTTGTTTCCTTATTTTTTAATCACAAAATAATGGAACTTTGTGTGTGCACAAAATTATATTTTGGTGAAAGTTTATTTGCTTTTACAGTTTTGACCGCCATGCTCTAGAATTATTGGAGAAAATGCTAATGCTTGATCCTTCCCAGGTATCACACTGAAACTATTTTTGTGAATTGGCTGTCCGCATATTATATCCTCATTCTGTTGCACCACATCGTTATATATGATGCTTCAATACTACATTTTCAAATTTTCTTTAGTTTGTTGACTTATTCCCTTTTCTTTTTTGCAGAGAATCTCTGCAAAGGATGCACTTGATGCCGAGTATTTCTGGACTGACCCCTTACCTTGTGATCCCAAGAGGTGTCTCTCCTGTCTTAATCATATTCCCAACCATTTGTGTTAGATAATATCCATAATACTTTCAGAAAACAAGAGCTAGCAACAATCTTGGGTCTTAATAACCCGTTTTTGTGACATCTGGCAAATGAGCTCGCATCAGTTCGGTTGATAATCCTATGCTTGCTACTTGTTATATTCTAATAGTGTTTGCTTGAAAGAGGAAGCAATTCCAAATTTTAGCCAACCTCTACTTGATTGCTTGATTATATGGAATGTTATATTGTCCTTATTTATTTATGCAGCTTGCCTCAATACGAATCATCACATGAGTACCAGACCAAGAAAAGAAGGCAGCAGCAACGACAACATGAAGAAGCGGCAAAGAGACAGAAAATACATCACTCACAGCAGCATGGTCGCCTGCCTCCTATACAACATACTGGGCAGTCTCATCACTGGTCTGGACCAAATCATCCTATGAATAATGCAGCGCCTCCGGTTCCTGCTGGTCCTGGTCACCATCACTATGGAAAGCCTCGAGGGCCTCCTGGAGGCCCAAACAGGTATGCAAGCGGAAACCAAAGCGGGGGATATAACCAAAATCGTGGAGGCCAAGTTGGAGGGTACAACAATGGGCCATATCCACCACAAGGGCGTGGTCCACCATATGCTGGCAGTGGTATGCCTGCTAATGGTCCCAGAGGACCCAGTGGTGGCTATGGTGTTGGCCCTCCAAACTATTCCCAAAGTGGTCAATATGGAAACTCCGGCACTGGCCGAGGTCCAAACCCACCAGGTGGTAGTCGAAATCAACAATATGGTTGGCAGCAATAAGGTTTATAGGTACTGCTTGAAGTCAATCAGATACTACACTAACTGAATATAAGTAATCCAATAAACTGAGATGAATTTATCTGGCCTCGGTTTGGGATGCTTTTCGAGTTATGTCAAGACTCAAGACTTCGTATTTTATTGGCTTTTTGTTTTATATCTAAAAGCTGTTTTCGTTCAGGTGCCTCGTCTTCATACGGCATTTTAATTAAGTGCTGGTGAAAATTTGAAGATTAATCTTATGTGTTTTTTATCTGTACAGACCAGAATTCTCAGTTTTGAAAAGAGTACAAGTTTTGTTCAACATTTGCCCATGTTATTTACATGCTTCACAAATTGTGTTCTTGGAAAAGGAAAGTTATTTGGAGATTATCTTCAAGTTTTCTTAAATGTCCATGTTTTTGGATACAGATACTCTGAAGTTTGTTCAATCTCAATTTATTCACCAACTTTGTAATCCCATTGAGGCTTAATTTATGCATCACTTATCACATAATATAAGAAAGAGAAAAAGACAAAGAAAGGCATACATAAAGCATAGATGTCTACTAACATTAGCATTTAGCTGAACTTAATTCTCTTTACGTTAGAAGAGAGCCAGGAGAGGCTAAAGCCTAAAACTAAAAGATGATGCAAGGGGACATTAGCCATCGCTGGTGTTAGAAAATGGTACAACAAAAACAAACTCCACTCTCAGAATCACAGCCAAAACAATTTAAATTTTTTCTTTGGCAAAATATGCAACATTCTCAGCCTCATCCCACTCCGGCTCCTAGACGTTTTAATTGGTTGGATTGAATGTCTATGCAGATTCAACTTTGAGCACAATCTTCATGAACTCGTATACAAAATAACTTATGGCAGCTGATGGTAGAACCTGAATGATCACAAAAACAAAAAGATAAATTAAGTTGCGATTCACAAAAAAATAATGTTCGTTATACAAAGTGAACAATTTACATATAATAGAAGATAAACACAATTTGATCAACTCTAATATTATGGTAGAGAAAAAGATGCAACATAGACATTTTAGACTTTTTGATTGATTCCCCACAAAAAGGCAAAGCCAAGTTGATGATGCACATGGACCACATAAGAAACTCCTTATCCATATCAAAAAAATCTATATCATAGAGAGGGCATGTGAAAGCCAAAAAAAGAGAGATAAAACATCAGACCTGCAATAAGCTAGGAATTAATCCTGCATAGAGAGCAGGAACACCTCCTTGCTCAACTATCTTGACACAGGTAGCCAATGCACTTAACTTTGTTGCGTGGACTTGCATCTGAAGTTGTCTTCTCACGACTTCAAAGGGGTATGTAGCAGCTTCAGCACAAGCACCAGCGATTGCCCCATAAAGCAATGTTCTGATTGGACCCAACTCCAGTTGTTCCAAGGCATTCAGTTCCTGACCTCCCTGTTTCATATACTGAATTCTTTTCCTCCCTTCCGGTGAATGGAGATAAGCTGACTTCAGTATATCATAGACACCATAGAATACAGCACCTGAAGGTGCCATGCTTGCAATTGAGGGTACCAAACCCTTATAAAGAGAAAAGAATCCTTCAGTTTGGATCATGTGGCGGAAAGCACCAATTAGACCACCCAATGCTTCTCCACCAGGTGCTACCATAACTGTCCTTATCTGCAACATTTATCATGTCGGTAGGCAGTAAGATTTTATCAGGGTTCAGCCAAAATATACATATAAGAAAGGATATTAACAGATTTCTATGGCCAGAACATGCTCAGAGCAAGTAGTGTAAACTCCTTGAAATATGCTTACTTCTCCTGTGATCTCTCTAACCAAATATAACAGATATCAAGAGAGCTTAAACACAAAACAACTTACGCCAAAAGAGAAATTGTTTCACGACAGCAAATTACATGACCACGATAAAAATAATCATAAACTCGCACTTACAGTGTCCAATGGTAAGCAGAGCAAGGTAGCAGTGATTCCAGATGCAGCACCAGCAACAAACCGCTCAAAATTTGTGGTTTCCTCATTCCCAGTCAATTTCAGCAGATGACTTCTGTATGTATCATAAGCATAAAAGTTGATAGCCTTAAATGGAGCAGTACGAAGAATATTAACAAAATTTCCTTTCCAAAAACCTTTCAACCCTTGAGTAGCGGCAATTGTCTTTATAAGGTCAAAAAGGTTCTTCTGTTCACCGCGGACTATGTATTCTAACTTTAGTCTTTCAAGAGGGGCAACAAAAGTTCTGATAGCACGACACCAAAAAGAATTTCAGCGAAAATCTAAGTTAACAGAACAATTTGTATTCATAAAACTAGATTCATAGAGCAGTGAAACTACAATATCTAGTGATAACTATAATAAGCAACACAACATAGGGGAACAGAAAAAAATCATTGGGGTGTACACATGCACGAGATTTGTTCTACATAAAATTATAGAAAAACTGGAACCAAAACATTTTAATTTGTACCTGAACAAAAAAAAAAAAAAAAACATCAGAATTTTCATTACCGAATAAGCTTAGAATGTTCCATCTACAACATATCAAACGAAAATCAGTGACATTCAAACTACAAGTTTGACATTCTAGGTTACTACTCAACAAATTAGAAGTCAAAAGCTCCATATTACCACTAAGACAAACTTTGGTGAACTTATATCAATCCTTAGAAGGAGTTCAACAAAAAATTGTCTTTTAGCAAAACTCCGATCATCCAGGAGTTCAAGTTCAGATTCTAAAAGAACGTGCAGCTGAAAATTTTCATTTCCCAGGTCCAAACCATGAGAAATATTTATCTATGTTAGTCTAACAGTTAAAAATGACATTTTGTTTTTTACAATTGCAACAGAGTCCTAGCAAGTCCATTTACAAAATAACCACAACAATAAAAACAAACAAAACAAAAACATAAAAGCAAGGCAAAAACCGAACCTCGAGACAGCAGCAGAAACAGCACCAGCCAACAAATGCTTGGTAGTATTAAAAGCACCTAAGTCCTTCTCGTTCTCCTCCACCTTAAGTGTCACCGTTTCCTCCTCCACCTCCATATCCGCACCTTTACTTTGTCCATCCTCATTTGGCCCCCAACTCTCACTCGATTCCCCGACATACCCACCGTCACTCCCCTTCACCGATAAACTCACTGATAAAAACCCACCTCCCCCTCGCCGCCTCTTCACTAAACGCACCGTTTTTCCCAACCCAAAACCCGAACTACTACCGGCACCACCCCCGCCACCACTCTTCAAGATTAACGAAACAAACGAAGGAGAAACCGTATGATCATCAAGAAACAATCCCCCATAAACAAAAGGAACAGCTTGATCAGAAAAGGACTGGCCTTTGATCAAAGAATCGAAGCTCAAAGACCGATCTTGACCGTACATTGTTATCGCGGGTGGTTGGTAATGGTGAGTGTAACTAGCATTACATTACATGAAACGAAATGGGGTTTTTGTAGAGAGAGGAGGCGTGAAGAGGAAGAGAGAAAGGAATGGAATTGATTTGATTTGAGGGAGAATAACAGATGGGAATTTTTGGAGATGCGTAAATTAATATGCTTCCCTTCTTAGTTCTTGTTGTGGTCTTAAGTCTTAGGCTTGATCGCCGCGGCATTTAGTCGTTTGTTTTTCTTCGGTTGTTTTTTGACAACACTCACAACATCGGCAACACTGTTTGCTAAACATCTGTTTGGCTGTGACACATTTCACACGTGTGCATATGTTTCTACTGTTTATTATGTGAAATACCAACCTTTTGGTTTATGAAACTTAATATATTATAAAATGAATAACGCCATGTTTACAACGAATAATCAAGGAAAATTTTTATAAAATTAATGTAAAATGATTTTTTATCTGGTTATATGTTTGATTATATGATTCAGTTGTAAGTATAACATTATTTGTACAAAATATCTCTATCGAGTTTTGAATCTTAATAATTTGATTGTCAATTACGTTTAGTGTGTGTCATTTGGTTGAATGTTTTAAGTATTATAATAAAATGAGATACAAGTTAGATAAACCTCAATTTATTCGTATTTCGACTAATCTTCTATAAAGATTAGCACAATAACTCACCGTCACAATTTCTTACCTAAGTCTAAAATTATATGCCTATCTACATTATTTTCAATTTATCCTAATTATTTAAACTACTCACGAATTGGTCAAACGCATGTAATGTGAACTTTATAAATAGCTATATCTTGAAGTTGTGTGCAGGGTGTTCATACTACGATGAATTAATATTATTTGATAACATAAAATTTTTTATTCGATCAAATAGTTATAAATTATAATTGCAAGCATGCATTTTGATAATGGGAGGGATATGAGTAGATATCAATTAACATAATGTTGATCCAATCATAACACAAAGAATGTCAATTGCCAATTTGCCATTATTTTCTAGGATGTGTCGATTCATATATAAATAATTTCGATTAATATTTAATAATTATATAATTTCTTTATAACTTTGAGGGAATGATTTATTTGTTCATATTTTATCTTCTCTAGGATACCCTTGTCAATTGCCAAATCTATATAAGTTTTGATTAATTAATTTGTAGATAATTGATTTTTACAATCAAATGGAGCTTTACCAAGCATTGAAATAGAAAATTTTGAGGTTAAAATTCCATAGAATATTACTATTCTACTTGACAGTAGCATATTTAATAATCAAATAGTGGCTCACATACCTAGAAACTATACCTATCCTGATAAAAGAATCTTGCTCATTTTCCATTCAACTTGTTCATGGAATATGTCCTACTCCGATAGGTGTGGTTGTCTTAATATTTAAAAAAAAAAAAAAAAACTACGGCTTTACCGGTCTTAGATTTGTGTTTTTGGATGTCTTAATATAGTTTCCATAAATAGTAGTTTGTTATATATCACTACAATTTATCAAGTGAAATCATTATAGATGACAAATAAGAAACTGACATGTGGTAAATTGTAGAGAAAGTTGTGAGAAGGTGTTGTTGGTCTAGCATTCTTATATATTTTTTTTTAACATGGAACCCGTAAGCATGCGGAAGGGATCGAGATGTAATTGGGCTCTAGCATGGGCCCATTACTATTTGCCCAAAAGCCCATTTGGTAAAGAGGCTATTCTAAAGGAAGCCCAAAACATTCCTGCCAAGCAATTTCTAAAGCTGTTTCATCTGTTGGCATTCGTACATACTACAACTCACAAATGGGTGCACTTATTATAAAATTAATATCCTCTGTCTGTTGTTGGCATAAAATTATTTTTTTCAATTTCTATTTAAATATTCAAGTTGGTACATCACACCTTGATCAAGATCTATCAATTTTTTCTATTATTTATAAAGATAATTTCCAACAACTTTATAATAAATTATATTATTTATTTTTTATTATAGTTTTATATTATAGAAAAACAAAAAAAAAAAAGTAGAGCAAAGTATGGAGGTGGTATGGTGAGTAAAATGTTCAATGTCTTTGTCAATTATGCAAAAGAATCAATAGGTCACATATTTTTGTTGGACAAACATACAAATAACATAAAGATATTTATTGGGTGTTGGCTCCATATATGTAAGAAAGAACATTAATCTCTCTAAATCAAGTTCCATATACATCCTAGTTTAATAGTGGTTACACTTATAACCCTCTAGAATGAGAATTATGCACCCTAAAAGGGTAACGTTCCTTTTCTAGTGGCTTTTGGATCAAGTGTGGATGACTCTTAGACCCTTTCGATTAAGGTATGTTAATATGTGAATATATTTAACTTCTTTATTTTTATTATAATGTGTATATTTATATTATATGAAATGTATTAATTAACGTTACTAAATGATTTTTAAAATAAATAGTAATTTACACTTTTAACTCATAGTAGTTGATTTGATAAGTAAATTTATTTATTTCATTATCTTATAAGTATAGTCACAAATCGATTGTTACGCATGAAATATAGTTTGGATCTCAACTTTGTATGTATAGTTTATATATTGCACTATAATCATTTGGGTATATAAAATATATCCCAATAATCAAATTCAAAGATTCAGAATTGAACGAACATTAACATCTTGTATTACAGTATGATTGAAGAATCAAATTCCCAGATTCAAAACCTTGAATCGACTCAACGTCACTAAAACTATATTACAAAATTCCCAAATTACCCTCTTAACCATAGAAAGTGTGGATGTGGGTACCATACCAAGATGGGAGAAAGGAAAAAATCACATGTTACTATGTTATGGTGGGGGGGTCATTGTCAAATGTGGGTCAAAATAGTGGGAAGATGATTGGAAAATCAGGGGTGGAATTGAGAAAAACAAGAGTTTGGAATAGGAACAGGAAACCCGTGACTCCTCTTTTTATTTTTTTCTCTCACTTGTAGATCACATGCACCTCATTGGAGACAACCGGACAAATCTAGTACATCGATTTCTATTTTATTATCCTCTCAATTTTTTCTTTTCCTCTTTTGCCCTTCACTTCTACGATTAAATTTTATATCTAACAGCCCCTTATCAATTCAAATTATTTGAAAAACGCCAAGATTAGATGAAGGTAAATTACTTTGAACTCTCAGGATTAGATATGTCTAATGTATTCCTAATAAAAACTTAAATTAATGACAAATTTTTGGAAGATATAATCATGAAAAAGATTATAGACTATATGATACTTTCATAATTTATATAAAAATACCTTCCATAAAGTATATCTATGTGACATTAATCACTAAAATAAATAAATAATCTATATTTATTTATTTAATTGGCGTCTTTAATGGTGTTGGAGCTTGTCTTAAATATTTGTAATTAAAAAGTGCAGAGGATAAATGCGGTCTCTCAATTTGATCCATTAATGAACGAGATTAATTAGAGGAGCAAAAATTAAATTAAAATTAAGATAAGATAAATTTAATTCATTCAATAAATAAAATGAGAAGAAAATAAGAGGAAGGGCACTTAGGCTTTAATCAAAAATATAAGAAGATTTGGCGTTGTTGCGATTGTCCAAGTCAGACTTTATGCCACGTCGTTCTTTCAGTTTTTATTTTAATTTTTCAAATTTTCTATTTTCTGGAACTCGAAAATTCACTCTTCCTTCTCTCTCTTTCTTTCACTTCTTTCTAATACTCTTCACAAATTCTCTCCAATGGCGGCCAATTCATGCGACGAGGTGAGAATTTATATTCGTTCGAGCTTACTAATCGCTCTCTTCTCTTCTAAACGAGCCTATTTCGTATTTCGTCAGAAACGACCTCGTTTTGGTTTGGAGGTATTCATCTCTTTTTAGCAATGGTGTGTAATTTGCATGAATACTTCGATTTCGCGCGGTTTAGTGGTTGCTAGTGGTTTAGAGTCAGATCATTACTGTTTCTCTGTTTGGCTGCTGACAAAACGATGAGAAAATGTGATGAAGTGATGAGAAGTTGAAGTGTTTGTGTGTTTTGGCTGGCTGATGTAAGTTTTGCTGTTTCTTATTTTATTCCTGATTTGGCAGTGAAAGAGAGTTTAATTTCAGACAAAAAGTATGTTTTTTTTTTGGTTTGGGTGATGAGAAATGTGAGAAATTGAAGTGTTTTTGTTACGGATAGCTGATGTAGAAGTTCGGCTTGTATTTGTGTTATTCTTGGTTTGCATGCTGTTGAAAGTTCTTCTTTTTTTTTTTTTTTTTTTTTTTTTTGGAATTTTAGTTTGTAGTTGTCTATGGTTGATGTGGAAGTTTGTTTTCTACTTCCGATTTTCTTGATTTGCATTCTATAGAAGCTAAAATTTTGTACTTCTATTTTTTTCCTAAATTTATTTATTTATTGCTGAGAAAATGTGGAAAAGGAAGGATAGAACCTTGAGTTTCTATTTTTAACATGTCAACGAACTAAAGACTTTTTTTTTTAAATGTTTTTATTAGTGTTTAATTTGTAATAATATTTACTCAATTCATACAGAAAACAAGGATTAAAAATAGTAGAATTCTCTTTAGCTATCTAATGCATTTATTTTATTTTGGTTTTAGCATACACAAATTGCTGCTATCTTGGATTTTCTTCCTCAATTTTTCTGGATCTAGCTTGGAAGACAAATCATTTTATTTTATCTAGTGATGGAGAGAATTTGGTGTGTTGATGTGTAAAGCCCTGACTGTGACTATTAGGAAATTTCAACCACTAAAAAAAGGATCAAAAGATCAGATTTAATAGGAGTTAGCTAATCAACTTTACGTCAAAATGCTTTCAGAAAGCAACTCTGCTAAAGATTGACATGGGTATCAGCCCAACTTATTCTTGGTTCATTGTCTTTTTTTGAATTTGGTATCCTTTATTGTCTATGTTTATCCACTCTCGCTCTCCCTCTCATATATATATATATATATATATATATAAAATTTGTTTTGGAATCTGCTAGTATTTTCCTATTTTAATGATAATGATAGTATCAATTAAGAAGACCATGGGTATGGATGGTGGATTGGTCTTGTTTTTGTTTTGATTTAAATACATTTATTGATATAGATTATTACTGAACTTTCCAAGAAGCATCTGTTTAATATGATGTTGTACTATCATACGGTTCTATGCTAGTTAAACGAATTAATGGTGGG